AACTGTGTTTGATTATAGAAATATCAATTTTTAAAACCCTATTTCGATATTAAATCCATTATAGAATATTGTGTCAGTCTCTCGAGATTGTATTTTATTCTTAATGTAGTATTCGATTACAAAATAGGAGAAATCAAAATCTGCGTGGTGACACAAATTTTCCCACCAGTTGTAAGTAAGCCTTCCTCCTCATGGGTTTGACACTCAACTCTATGCCTTTATTAGATGATTTGATATACTTAAAGAAATTTTGTGGGGTTTTATTAATTTTATATCAAAGAAAACCTAAGCATTATTTAGGGGTGATAAAATCCTAGATTTTTATACAATACAAAAGTTCAGTCCACATCTCCTATCAATGTGCCTAATTAAGTTATAAGGTGATAGATTAGAATGTCAATCCCAACCGAAAGTGTTATACTAAACTACCAAAATACCACTACTACTTACTCCAATTGCATGAATTTATCCTACTAAAATAAAAAAAATAAATTTTCAATTTTATACCACTAAATGAAAATAGAAGAAAATGGTTGATACAATTTGAAAAAAAAAATATTTTGGATTAATACATATAAATAACATATCTCTCTAAATGGACTCTTAATACTAGATTTGGATCAGAATATGTGCATTTCTATATCTTTATGAAGCTTTAAAGGATGAAAAGAAAGATTTTTAGTCTTCCTACAGTTTTACTATCTCCATAGAATATATAATATTCAAATATCATATGTTTAGGTATGTAAATATTTTATTTCAAAATTCGTAATTATCCTTGCATTCCTTCATTGATATTATGCATCACAATAGATTTATGAAACTTTAAAGGACGAAAAGAAATATTGTTAGTATTCCTACAATTTTCTTATCTCCATAGAATATATAATATTTACATATCATATGTTTAGGTATGCTAATATTTTATTTCAAAATTCATAATTATCCTTGCATTCCTTCATTGATATTATGCATCACAATAGTTTTTTACTATACACATTGATATTGTACTCATTAAATGAAGAAGGCGAGATATTAAAGATGTCAATATTTTCATTTAAGAACAAGAGTTTATGTTAGTACTTAACATACTCTATATATCATTAGCCCAAAACAAGAGATCTTGCAAGACATGGAAGAAATAACAAGCAAACTCATATTCATTTTATTCATAAAAGAATAAAGTACAAGAGAGGACAGAACAAAATATCTTCTCTACACTCATTTATCCAAAACATACAGATTTTCTTGTACAAACATAGGCTAAACTCTCTAAGAGATTGTATCTTCCATGTCCCAAGCCATTTTTAGACTTTACTTTGAGGGGGCGCGAAGGAAATACATTGGAAAGGACAAAAATTTTTACTCTTTTTTTTTTGAAAGATGCAAAACCTTTGCTTCAAACTCTAAAGAACTATTACAAGCTACTAGACAATACTAATACATTCCTCCTTTTACAAACTAAGAAGGGAAGGAGGAACAATATTCAAACTAATATCATACCAAAAAAAATTGCTAGGAATATCAAAATTTTGTACACAAGTCTGCTAATTTAATACAATCCCTATAAGTACAATTAAAAATAACATGATTGAAATCCTTGAGAAAAGCAAGATCATCTAGCCAACATTCACCCTTGGAAACATCCATCTTTTTTAATGAATCTTGAACAAATTAGATAATATTATAATTATTTCCTACAATGATAATTCCCTAATATTTGAACTTCAACTCTTGATTGACATTCTTAAGTGAATGAATAGAAAAAAGCTCTGACCGTGATACATCCCAATTGACACAATTACAACCAAAGGCTAGCATAAATCTTCCTTTGTTATCCTGAAAAACACCTCCTATAGAAACTTTATACGAAGGTAATATAGAAGTGTCAACATTAACCTTGATCCAATTAGGAGGAGGAGGGTGTCATTGATTGAACAGCCTTTGAGACTGATTAACACCCTAGTGGCCCGAACTTAATAAACTAGTAGAGTTAGAAACTAAAGCATAACTAACTGAGTTAGTAATAATAACCACTGTACTTTTTTGATTACTTCCAAGCACAATCTTATTTCTAGCCTTTCAAGATTGATAAACCATAGTGCAATACATATTTACAAAAAAAAAAAAAAACATTCTTAGAAATAAGATCATTCAACCAACAACAAGTTCTTTAAATGCACTAAAGGCAGGAATGCTAAGGCCCACTTATTCAACCACTAAATTACCTCAATCAATTTCACGCACCTAACAACCCCATGTTCTTGGTCTTCCATCACATTACGTCCTCTAGGATATGCAATAACATCTTGCAGTCTTCTATATGTCAGAAATTGAAAGGTTAAAAGAGCATTATGGAACATTCTCCATAAGAAAATCTCCACCTATGAGTTAAGCTTTTTCTTCTTAATCCATTCCTAGTAAAAATGTTCTATATGTTCCTACACCAAACCATCATAAGCAAAAGAAAAAATAGATTTTCCAGATGCTTGATGAATAAGTTCCAACTTATCCACACATAATTCAGGATGTAATTGAATTTGACATATTAAATGAACCAGCTCTTCCCCAAAATTTTTTTAAAGTTCACCATTGTTCTATCCTCCATCACTAATGAACATGTATACTGTAATATTACTACACCCTTGAGTCAGAAAAAATGTTGTCCATTTATTAATACATTTATCCAACGCCCAAACATCATTGAATACATTAATGGAATTACTGTTCACAATCTTCCACATTAAAATAGGATTAAAAAATATATCACCATTTGAAATGATTTTCCATGAAGCTGAAGCCACCTCCTTCAACCCTTCATCCCATAACTGAAAACCTTATTTAGCATCAAGAGTTTTATAGAGCATTGAATATTTTTACTAAAGAAATTTCCAAGTCAATTTCAACCTCAAAGGTCCCACTTTACATGCATAAGAATGAAGACCACGCCCACAACATTTAATCGACTTACATAAAACATTCCAACTTACATAATGAAGTCCATATCAACCATCCAGCTTATGCTAAATGAAACTTCTATACATTTTGTACATTTTATGGTATTATATCATGCAAATCATTTTTTGTCAATTTTTTTTTTATTTTACACATTTTATTAATTTCAATCATGTCAAAATGATTAATCATTTAAATCATGTCAAAATGATTAAATAAATTATATTATAGTATATTATATTATATTATATTAAATGGTTAACTAAATTAAACTATATTATATTATATTAAATAACTTGAATGAAAATTAAATCTTGAATTCATTAATAAATAAAAATAATTAAAGGCCATCGTGCATATGCTTGATCCCTATGAAATATATACTTTTTGTATTTATTAAAAGAAAATTACAAATTATCTAAGGTGAAAAGACTAAATCACTTTCTTTCCACATTAAAGACAAAAGGGATAAGATAATGTTACAAACTAGAACATTCCCAAAAAATATCATACCAAAGAAAAGGAAGCACAATAATAAATAAGTTTATTGCTTTCCAATGAAGATAAATCATGCTGCTAATTAACTTTATTAGTTAAGTGTTTGAATTTTTTTTATTATTGAGTCTTGTTGAATGCTTGGTAGATCTGGTAAGGAGCTCTTATTATTTGATCCAAAAATAGAAAGGACCCCTACAAAAATTCAAAAATATGAAAAAAATTTTAACTATGTTTGACCTAGTTTAAGATTATAATCATGCTAAACCACTTAGGGAGTATGATAATCCTATGGTAGAAGTTATCCATCAGATTATTAGCATACTTACTATCAAGGGTAATAATTTTGAATTGAAACTAGTTATTATCCAAATGTTTCAAAATTCTCAATTCAAGGGAACTCTTATTAAAGTTCTTAACTTACCTTTAGCTAGTTTTATAGATATATGTGAACTTCTAAGTATAATGGTGTCAATTTTTATGTCATTAGACTTATACTATTCCTATTTTCTCTAAGTGATAAAACTAAAATGTGGATAAATTCTTTATCCCAAGGTTCTATTACCACTTAGAATGTCTTGGCAGACAAATTCCTAGCAAAGTATTTCCCACCTTCAAAAATTGCTAGATTTAGAAATATTATAACTTATTTTGCCTATTTTGATGGAGAATCCATTTATAAAAGTTGGGAGAGATTTAAGAAACTGCATAGGAAATGTCCTCATCATGCTTTACTCAGTTGGCTGGTTATTCAAAGCTTTTATAATGGATTAGTAAGATCTCTTAGGGCAATCATAGATGGAGTAGTTGGAGGATCATTAATGGCTAAGCCATTTGATGATGCTGATGAATTAATAAAATAAATGTCTACTAATAATTTTTAGTGGCTTGTTGATAAGAGTAAACTTAAGAGAGTAGCTAGAGTCTATGAATTAGATGCTTTATCAATTCTTACTGCTCAAGTAGCTGCTAATTCAAATAAATTAAATATTATGTGTTAGCGCCATACCAAATAGGTTTAATAATTAACATAACTTAGTTTATGATCCTAGACATGTTAACACTAATGCGTCGTATCATGCACAACCGTAGCATTACCGTTAACATTTTGAGAAAATTGATCATATTGGAAATGAGAAGATAACAATAGAATATATTAGTACGCAATTAGGAATTCAATTACAATATAAATCTCCAACTCTTAGAAAAATAAAAGACCATATAGAGCTTCTTGCTTGGTTGATTAACAAATAAAAAATAGAAGAACAATGTAATAATATCAACCTAGGAGAAAAAATGATTTAGGAGACCAATATAAGGATATAGATCAACATCAAAAGAATAATGGTGAAGGATTCATATAGAAAGTGAATCCTTCGTTGTATAACCTAGCCGTATAAAAGAACCTGGAAAAAACAAATTAGGAAGATTGTAGAGAGACCATCACCAACTTTTTTGTCGAAGGTTGATCAAACAAAATCTTGATAAAAAATTTGCTGTGTTCTTAGAGGTGTTTATGAAATCTATTATTAAAATACCATTCTCTGAAGACTTAGGATAGAAGTCTACCTATGAAAAATTCAAGACGGATATTTTTAATAAGAAAAGGAAGTAAGGACAATTTGAAATAGTATTATTAATTGAAAAGTGTTGTGCTATAATTCAAAAAAAAAAAAAAAAAACTTCCTGAAAAACTTAAAGATCCTGGTAGTTTCACCCTTCCCTTAACTATAGGGGATAAATTTTATTGGTGAGATTTATTTCATCTTGGATTATACATCAATCTCATGCCCATTTAAATCTTCAAAATATTAGACATAGGGGAGGTTCAACCAAGTTTTCTACTCTTCAATTAGTTAATGGATAATTCACTTATCCAAGAAGGGCAAAAAAAGATGTTTTAGTTAAGGTTGATAACTTTATTTTCCATGTTGATTTTATTCTACTTTATATGGAAGAAGATGGGGAAATACCTCCCGTTTAAGGAAGGCTTTTCTTAGCCACTGGGAAGGACATGATTGATGTGCAAAAAGGGGAATTGAGAATAAGGTTTCATGATAAGGAGGTTACTATTGATGTATATGAAATTCCCTCAAGAAAAAAAAATAGAGTTTTCTCTATCATAGATTTGGAAGACACTGCAGTAGAGAGTTTAAAAGAAGAATTATTAAAAAGAGATTTATTGGAGGAAGTTGAGGAGAATTGTGTGTTTGTAGGAGAAACTGTTTCAATAATTATAGGTAATATAGGATTTTTTAAAGTGAAACTTAAAACATTAGAGATTATATATTTGGATAAAAATTTGAAAACTTCTAAAGAAGATGCTCCTAACTTAGAGCTTAAGGTTTTGCCCAGACATCTTAAGTATGCTTTCCTTGGTAACAGCTCAACTCTTTCTATAATCATTTATACAAACATAGAAAAATATCAGGAAATTATATTGATTGGAGTTTTTACTGATTTCAAAAAAGATTTTTGGCTAACATTTGCTAACATCAAAGTAATTAGTCTTCAATTTGCATGCATACAATTTTAATGGAAGCTAATTTAATATCAAAAGATAACCCTTAAAGGAGACTTAACCCTTCCATGAAATAAGTTGTTAAGAAAGAAAGTCTTAAATTTCTTAATGGTAATATTATCACTCACATTTCATATAGTTCTTGGTTAAGCCCTATTCATTACTTCCCTATAATGTTCACTTGAATGTTATATCAAATGAACATAATGAATTTATTGAAACTAGAACTATCAATGGGTCGAGGATTTGTATAGATAATAGGATATTAAACTTGCCACTATACAAGATCATTTCCCATTGCCTTTTCTTAATAAAATGCTAGATAGGTTAGTAAGGCATTCATTTTATTTCTTTCAAGATGGATATTCAAAGTATCATTAGATTGCTATTACACTTGAGGACCATATAAGACTACCTTCAGTAGTACTTATGGAACATTTACTTTTAGGGGAATGTTATTTGGTCTTTGGAGTGCTCCTGCTACATTTCAAAGATGTATAATGTTAATTTTTTCAAACTAACTTTAGCATTGTTTGGAAATCTTTATGGATAATTTCTCTATATTTGGCAATATATTTACTTCATATATTGAGCATTAAACTTCTATTTTGAAAAGATGTATAGAAAAAAAATTAGTGTTAAATTGGGATAAATGTCAAATCATGGTAATTAAAAGAATTATCTTGGGGCATAAAATTTATATGGAAGTATTGGAGGTAAATATAATAAAAATTGAAGTTATAGAGAAATTGCCTCCACCCAATTTAGTTAAAGGAATTTGAAGTTTTTTTGGATATGAAGGATTCTATAGGAAATTTATTAAATACTTCTCTTAAATTTCTAAACTTCTAGGTCATTTATTATAGAATGATATTTCTTTTTATATTTGATGCTTCCTATCTTGAAGTTTTTAAGCATTTAAATTAACTTTTGATTATTATTTTAATTATTATTTCTCCTTATTCCTTTTTTAGTGGTGTGTAAAGCAAGCAAAGTTGTTATTGGTGTTACTTTTCATCAAACGTGAGATAAGGAATTGCAAGTCTTTTTTATGCTGTTAGAACTTTAAATTCTACATAATGTAATTATACAACTACTAAAAAAGAACCACAAGCTATTATTTTTACTTTTGACAGGTTTAGATCATATTTGTTTGGTACAAAAGAAATTATTTTTATGAATCATTGTGTTATCAAATATCTTATGACAAAGACAGACCCTTAACCTAGATTAAAAAGGTGGATTCTCTTATTATAAAATGTAATATAGAAATTTTTTATCAGAAAGGAATTGAAAATCAAATTACTGATCATCCTTCTAGACTTTCTATTAAAACTTTGCATTAACTAAGTTTGAAATTAATATAGATTTTCTTATTGACAAATTATTTTATTTCCATCTGAATAGACTACCATGGTTTACGGTTTTTTTTAATATCATTATTAGTGGAATACTTTCATGTAATTTATTTTCAATTCAAAAAACAAAACTTTTGCATGATACAAAACTTTATTTATTGGATGAACCATATTCTTTTATGGTTTTTATCGATCAAATTATTATTATATGTGTCCTCAAGAAAGAAATAGAACGAGTCATTATGGAATGTCATAATTATAATTATGGTGCCATTTTAGAGGTTTTAGAACTTTTACTAATATCTTTCAATGTATTTTTTTTCTAGTAAATTTAAAGATTTTAATGAATATATTAGACAATATGATCAATGTTAAAGAGTAGGCAATATGTTAAAAAAAATGAAATGTCTTTGAACTTCATTTTCTTGATTAAGATATTTTTTGCTTGAGGATTAGACTTAATGGGACATTTGGTGCAATCCCATGGAAGTTAGTATCTTTTTATTGTTGTGGATTATGTATTAAAGTGTATATAAGGAGTGGCAACATCTAAAACTTATGCTCAGGTAGCAAATAAATTAAAAAATATATATATTTTTTCTATATTAAAAATGCCTAGCATTTTAATCAATGTTGGAGGAAGTCTTTTTTGAAATGAGAGAATGGAACAAACATTGAGAAAATATGGAATTTATCATAGGATTATAACTTATTATCCCAAGACAAGTGGCCAATCTGAGATTAACAATAGGGATATTCAACAGAATTTGGAGAAATTTATTAGTTCTAATAGAATGGATTGGGCTATTAAGTTAGATGATGTTTTATGGGCCTATAGAACTATATTTAAGACTCATATAAGAATATATCATTATAAGATAGTTTTTTGGAAAGCTTGCCACGTTCCTGTAGAATTAGAGCATAACGCATTTTTGGTTGTTAAAGAATTGAATTTCATTTTTGAAGTAATAAAAGAGAAAAAATTAATATAGTTAATGAATGGGGAGAAATTAGAAATGAGGCTTATGAAAATTTAATGATTTGTAAGGATAAAGTTAAAAATGGCACTATCGTAAGATTCTTAAGAAAGAATTTACCCTTAAATAGGATGTTTTACTTTTTAATTTTAGACTTAAGTTAAGTCCAGGGAAGTTAATATCTAGGTCGTCAAGACTATTCACTATCGTAACATCATTTTCTTATGGAACAAATAAAATTCAGTATAAAATACTTTCATATTTTTAAAGTTAATTGCCATAGACTGAAATCCTTTTATTGTGGGAAAATTGATGGATTAAGAAATATAATGAGTTGGTTCATACTGAATTATAATAATTGGTATAGTCAAACTGTAGACTATAAACATAGCACTGATGGGAGGCAACCCACTTATTTTTTATATTTAGTTTGGTTGAAGACTTTAAATTTACCACTGATGTGAGGCAACCCACTATTTTTTTGATGAACTGCAAATGCATTAAACTAATAAGAAAAAGATAAATACAAACCTATGTGATATAAATACTATCACAATCCTTCCTAATCAAGTTAACAATTCTTGACGGAATGTTCCCAAACGAAGCACATTCCCAATAAAAATCTCCTATTAAGGAATAATTAGCATAACCATCCACCAATTTATTACCTTCTCTAGAAACAACATGGAAATTAAAATCATTAAAACAATCTAAAAAAGAGGAGTACATTTTTTTCACCACTTTAGTCTGAGTCTTCATTGTTGATTGTTGAAGAAGCATAATCACATTGATATTATCACCTTCGATAATAATACCATTTATTTCATTCATCCATTCTTGAATAAAAAATTTGAAATAAAAAACAACAATTAGCTCT